GAATTTGCTTAATTATGATGAAGAAACTGACCTCCCAGCCCATTGTTCCTTCAGTGGGCTGGGAGGTCATTATGCAAATGTACTGTTTATAAGATTGGAGAAACCTGCAGTCAGCTGAGACTGAAGAAGTCACTCGGATGAGTGACGAAACGTTTCTCCCACAAAATGCTACGTCCAGATGAACAGAATCAACTTTTAGAGATTTACTTACCTGGATGAATGAGTCTGCATCAAGATCTGCACAAACACTTGAACATTTTAAATCGTTACTGAAGACACAATTTTATGGTCTGGCATTAAACACACTTTGACCTAAACATTTTGGTTTTAACACCCTTAGTTGTTATTGTTGTTTGAGTTGTTTTTATGATGTATTTCATCTGCTTATTTGTTTTTTCTATATTTTACTGCATCATTGTTTTTGCATTTTATTTATTTTAGTGGCATTTTACATTGTTAAGCACTTTGTGCAGCATGGACTGTTTGGAGATGTGCTTTATAAATAAAGCTGACCTTGACTTTGATTGCTTCCACCTGTTGTAAACTGTATTTCTCATTAGTAGTCAGTTTTCTGTTTATATAGTCCTGTGTTTCATTTACTTGGAGAGGGTCCTTTTGCTTTTGTTTTATATTATCTCTTTATGTTTTTTTTTGTTCATTTCAGGTTGTTCTTTTTGTTTACATTAGGTCCTCCACACCACGGTTATGACACTTCTTTTCCTCATTCTTTAAAAAAACACCAAGGTCACAGAAAGATTAGTAGTGGAAGTCCTTATGACACTGTTTTTAAGAGGTTTAATTTCATTTAAACCCAATTTACAGTGCAGCCTAATACCACCAGCTTCATTCTTTTTTAACTTCTACTCCAGCAGCTCTGGCTTAACTCATAGCATCACATTTGATGTAAATGTCAACTTCCCTCAAGCTTTCCTCATTTTGTGGAAGATATTTTTAATTTCATGAGGTGTCAGATATCATTGTGTAAGTGAGTGATAGGTCTTGTATTACAGAGCCATGCTGTAACTACCTGCAGAATCTGGTCTGGCATTCCTGCTGAAGAATGCATGACCTCGCTAAAAAGGATTCTGTGAAGTCCCCAGATTCTATTTTTTTTATTGCACTTTGGCGATTCCTTAATTTAAAGGCGCATTTAAGTAAAAAAAAAAAAAAAAGATCATTTCATCATTTGACATGTTGTCCGTGCGCTCCTTAAATGTGTGGATTAAATTATTTTCAAATTTGTTACGTTTACACAGCTTCCCCACTTTAAGAAACGCAATTTTAAAATAATACATAAATTTTTTTATGTGTAGCATATCTAACACTGGCTATTGAGCAGTGCACTACAATTTATATTATGTAATGTATTCTACACAGACTATAAACTGATGAGAATGCAGATCATTTAGTTAGACATTTTCAGCTTCAGACTTTTGGGCTGTATGATGCACATACATATTCTATAACATAAGCATATTGAACCACTGTAATAAGGTTTTTGTTTGTTTGTTTGAATCTCCAAGCATCTATTTTTGTATTTACATAAAATGATGGTAAATGCCTGTAAAAACAACTTGTTTTGTTTGTGTGAAATCAAGGGTTTTCCCCCCAAAACATTTATATAAAAATTTAAATGAAACTTCTCTGACTTGAACTCAGGGAGGCATGGCTTTGCAGGTGTTTAATTCTGTATTCTGTCTGGCACTGAGGCTTAAAGGAAATCTGTGCTAAATCCTCATTTGTTAATCAGATATGTGTTTTTCTGCAGAACTGTGGGGCACCGCCACCGTTGCGGGGGCCAGGACCCCTCACTGTGTTCATCCCCACCAACCAGGCTGTGGACCGAGCCCGAGATGGCAGCATCCTGTACATGCTGAATGATGTAAGACCTCAGGGAGTCACTTTTCATCTCTTTGTGATTAGTGCAGATAACACATGCTGAGTTTTTTTAAATTATCAACAAATCAAATAAGAAGACCAAAGACTTTGTGACTCTGTCCCAAACTTAATTCTTACTGATAATATTCATCTTGAAGTAACCCAGATATGTTCAGTTTTGTTATTTTCTAAAGCACGTTTGGTTCCTGCCATATTAGAGATTTTGTTTTTAATATATTTTTTTTTCCAGGCCAAATATAAACTTCAGGAACTCCTCAGACACCACGTGTTTTCCCAGGCTGCGGTGAGCTCTTACCCTAACTCCCCAATCCTTCTGTCAGAGTCATTTATTTCACTTTCACCTGTTGCTTTTTCCTTTCTTTTTGCCTTTTATCCATTGGCGAACACAGATGAAAAAAGACTTAGCTCCACACTTTTATTCTTAGCTTTGCATTGCTCACGGTTCAAAATAGTCCTTATTTATCTTGTTCTGGGCCTTGGTGCCACCAAGAAACATGCATTTTTTTATTGGCCACCAGGCAGTGACACTTTCAGGTCACATCAGTAAAAACATGAAGCTAATTTTGCAAATTATATTTATTATTAGAGTCAGAAAGGAGGATTATCCAGGATAATCTCACTGATTGACAATGTGTCAGTCAAGCCAGTGTGGTGTAATTGACCAGTATTTCTGGAGCAGTAACACTTAAATGTCTGTTAAATTAGTTGCACACATCGTTAATGACTACGTCCCTCCATTCATACTGTCTGTTTGTAACAAAGACTCATTTCCTTAAATATATGGAAGCATAGGCCCTGTTAGCTCTCCCCCAGCAGATTGTCCGAGCAGCTGAGAAAACAGGCAGCAATTTTTCACACCAGCTTGTTAATCAACCAAAGACTTAGAGTTTTAATTAATTTGAAAGCCTGATTCTCAGCCTTGTACAACCTAACTGGAAAACTCAAAAACCTGTTTTATTTGATATCATCTATCATCCTGGGCCTTATTAGAGTTTCTGTCTGATTTCTTAGAGTGTTTATCTGACTCAGTTCTCAGCTCAGATAAAATAATTATTGGGGGTGATTTTATCATCCATGTAGATACTAAAAATGACAGCCTCAACATGGCATTTAATCT